CCCCAAAACCCCAAAACCCCAATCTATTGAATGATTAAATGATAGAATGTCTTAAAATATTCAAGAGAGAATAAAACTTGCTGATAGCATAATTATTTTTAGTATTTTATCATAAATTCTACTGAATTAAAGTTCAATTATATTTTGCTTATTAATTTAATTTGCTGCATGTGGAGATTTATTGCGTACCTAGATTAGCTTACTTCAATGGAACATCTTAACATTTGCTTTAAAGAAGCGGAATACAAACTGTTTAGGGAGAAGGAATAGAAAGAATCTATGAGAAATTACCATTATCTCAGTTTCATCACAGTTGGGTTTCTTGTTATTATTGCCATTATAAAGAGAGAATTCGTTCTTTTTACCTGGATAAGATTGGGAATGACAACATTCTCGGTGCTCTCCTCATTCTTCCTTGCAAAATATAGACCTCGACAAGCAAGTTTCTATGAAATGATTCTAAATCAACCAATGTTCGTCATTGTCTCTTTTATGAGGTGCCTAAGTGTATCAACAACTACACTTTATTACCACCCAATTGTGGCATTTCAATAGTTATATAATTTTCTAGTATTGCAAAACTCTACTCTTGGATGGTTTCCGAAAACAGTCTCCTATGCATGCAATTAGATTTTATACTTTTCCTTATTTTACTGGAAATACGGAAATGATGGTTCAATGATGTAAATGCCAGCTTTTGCTATGCTCATTGTATCATTTGTGGGGATTTCACTTAGAAGAAATGAAGAACTAATGAGAATTGATCTTGCCACTAGGACCTAAGAGACTTTCCTTAGAGAAAAAATCTAAAAGATTCTGCTCCTAATATAAGATGGGGTCTTAATCATAAATTAGATGCAAGATGACAAAGAAATAGTATATGAAAATGATACTTTAAAAAAGATAAGAAAAATGATAAAGACAAAGTTTTCTTCCTATTAATTACGTAATGGATCTTAAGCTGTATCTTAGGAAAATTAATTGTATGATTCTGATCGCTGTTTAAGAAGTGATGATAGTTACTAATAACAAGAAATTCTGCTAGATTCTTTATTCGAGAATCTTCAATTCAGATATGAATTTAGTAATAACAAAGAGAAGATAATGACTTTTCCTGAATGGATAAAGAAGATTAGATCTAATAAAAGCTTTGAAAATTAAACTTTCTTCTTCAAACTAGAGCCTATAGGATTTTCTATCTAGATTTATATCAACTACCTAGAAAAAGAGGGTTAAATTCTTATTGTCTTTAAGGAATTATCAGCTTTCAAGAAACTTTAGAAAACTAAAAATAGAGAAAAATTCACAAATATTTTCATCAATTCAACTGCTCACAATGTTTACACTCCTTTAAATGGACTTATTGGTATTACTTAATTGATAGAAATGGAAATGAATAAAATGCCAACAGTAGTTAGCTCTATAAGAATCATGAAAACTTGCATCTATAATCTTTTCTACACAACTTAAAATATTATAGAGCATTCCCGAATCCGATTGAAAAAATTCATTCCAGAAATTTAAGAAGTCCGAATTTTCGATATTATAAGCAAACAAATAGAAATATTTAAGAATGATGCATTTTAAAAGGACATTGAATTAATAAAAACTATAAACTGCGAAGAAGTGATCTGTGTTGATGAAGCACGGTTAAATCTAATCATTTTCAATATCCTCAGCAACTCAATTAAGTTTACTGAAAGTGGGCATATTGAAGTAATTGCAGACATCATTTCTTCAGAAGAACTTTAAGAAAGGATTGAGGCTAATTAACTTGCAGTAAAGGTAGAAGACATTCACAAAATCTATATGAAAGGAAATACTTAGTATCTCTATTTGAGTGTAATTGATACAGGAGTAGGGATGAATGTTTCAAAGCATGATGAGCTTTTCAATCTTTTTTAAAAATTTAGAGTTTCTGAGGACAATATAAACCAACAAGGATTAGGGCTAGGATTATCAGTATCAAACTTGATATGCCAGCAATTAAATGGAAATATTTTCTTGGAGTGGACTAGAAAATCTAAAGGCTCTAAATTCTCATTTTACATCCCTGTACAAGTTATCTCTGATGAATTTTTGAATGCAATTGAAATCGATAACTACTTGGATGGAGATGATACAACTAAGTATAATTCTACAGAAAATTATACTATTCTAAATCAAAAACTTGATAGAAATAAATTGATTCAAAAAGAATTAGAGTCAGCAACCAAGAATCTTCAATTTAATGTGACTATAACTTCAGTACCATCAAATGAAATATGTCATGTACAATATTCTTATGAAGATATTTATGAGGAGTTAATAATCACGGCAAAATCAGATGAAAAGTCGTTAACTATTCCAACTTCTAAGATTTTAGTGGTTGACGATACTGTGTTTAATGTAGAAATTATAAGTATGCTCTTGCAGTAACTATTTGCAATTACAATTGATTCTGCTTATAGTGGCTAATAAGCTATTCAAAGGATTATAGAAAGAATAGAAAATATCAATTAAAATCCAAGTCAACAAATGTACTCACTTATTTTGATGGATATAAATATGTCTGGTATGGATGGAGTTTAAGCTACTAAGATTATTAGAAATAGATTCGGAAAGTATATCAGCAATCATTGTAGAATATATGCTTATACTGCAATCCCTTAAAGCTAATTTGGTGATTACTCATAAAAGGGATTTGATGGCTTTTTGCCAAAGCCTCTAAATCATTAAATTCTATAGAAGGTACTAATAGACTTAAAAATAATTTGAGCCAATTACATTAAATGATTTTGTATTAATTGCCTTAAAGTTCTTTGCTTTTGAAATTTCATTATATTTTTTGTTTTTTATTCCATAGGGGTTTTGGGGTTTTGGGG